AAGGTCTTCGAAAGTACAGGTAATCAAAACTTTAGGAAGCAGCACAAGGAAGGAGAAGTTTAAAGAAGTACCGCAGAAACCTCCTCGACTATCGTGTTCCGCTGACAACCTTATTAAACGAATACGGAATGCGCCTCTTCCCGAAAAAAGATGGATTCCATGAAGAAGGGATTTTACACCAACCTCTTCCGCTATTAACACCCGTGCCAAATCCCGTTATCTCGCGGGAGAAATAAAACTACGGAGAGCTACTTGCTGAGTTATGCACCTCAATCCAGATCATGAAGGCAGCCATGACTCCGGAACGGATCAGGTTTGGCCGACTTCTTATGGGCTGGAGATCGCCTACACAAGAGACTTGAGGAACATTTTACTTTTCACCTTCAAAAGGAAAGGATCTCGGACTAGCGGAGAACCTCCCAAACAATTCTCCTTCATAAGAGGAGCGATAGGGAGGTTCTGGGGAACTACCGTCCAATATGCCTGCTGGCGTGCTTTACAAGCTCTGCATGAGAATCGCAGTCAAATATCAAGGACACCGCATGAAGCTCAACCTGTAGAACAAGCTGGTCCGCAAGGGACTTAGATGCGTGAATCATATCCAGACGTTTTCGAGGCATCGAGGTTTGCCAAGAGTATCGCTACCTCTCGTCCCAACCTTCGTTGAACGAGAAAGCGTTTGACAGCGTCGAGACTAATGCCATCTGTAAGCTTGTCAACCAAATGGATCCATCTTACGTAAGCACATTGGCCGACTGCTACGAACTGCTCTATAATGGTACACCCTTACAGAAAATTATCACTGGAGCGAAGACGAGGCTGAAAGAACTGAACAAAGCAGAGACCGGATAAGACTGCAAATAACCGTAGGACTCAATTCGTAAAGAAAGCGTTTTGCAAAAATCAGGAAATGTGATTAATAGGTCTCCAGCAGCGGAGACATCTTTTTACGCATATCTCGGGAGTTCAATGAACATGGAGTACGATTGGAAAGAAGAACTAAACAGCAGGCAAAGAGCAGCTTGGGGCGCCTTCGGGCCCATGAAGGGCCACAGACCAGCTGACAGACCCAGAGCGCCACCTGTTCGATTCGACTGCCCTCCCTGCACCTGTTACGAACAGACGTGCCCTGGCATTGTAGCTGCGTTGAAGGCTTTCAAACAACTCACAGAGCGCTTGAACGACGTCTTCTGAGTTAATATGTACTCAACATCTCGCCGACTTTGCAGTTCAGTAATGAGATCAACGTCGCGTCTTCGCAATCCAGCGGAAAACGATCAATATTTTGCTTTAGAGACGAACAGAACGTCGTCACATAATGAGAAGGACGACGACAGATGGACATTGAGAACTCCGGGATGAACGCGAAACAAAAGTCCTAGAGGGAGGTCACCTTCCAGGTGGGCTGACATGTCATGTTGCACGGTTGGACCAGCAGAATTCTCAGCTGGTAACGAGATGGATCTGGCTCGCGACATCGCCGCCGCAGTTCGATACCAACATCGTGGATGACGCTAGTGAAAGACAGGAACGTTTGGAAACAGTGCTGTGGCACGACAAACGAAGACAGGCCATCTAGATATCTATTCAATATTTTGAGGGGCAATAGTGATGCTTTAAAAGAAAACGCAAAGGAGAAAGTGCCGAAGGGCGCGAGAGACCGGAGGAGAAGCCGTGGAGTGTACTTCCTGAGGATGTCCCTCTCACAACTTGCTGCACGCACACCGACGTCTAGTTCACTTGCTGGGCCACATTCTCTGTGCCTTATTCATACACCTCCTCGTCTTAATTTTTT